TGATAATTTTAATGGAATAATATGTTTTTACGTATAATTTATGTGGTACACTTTGAATGCTCCCCAACACCTTTAAAAATGGTGTAAAAAATCTTGGTGGCTTCCAGGGACATTATTGCCTCAGCAAATAAGTTCATTTTTACCCATAATTGCGATAGTTTAATTTTTGACTCACCCTAATGTACATTCGCATGCTAGTATCACTGTGACTTTGTCCAGTTAATGCCGTGAAATGTAATGTGTTGTAATGCTAAGTAATGCATTGTGTAAATGAATAATGATTTTAATGCGACAATATTTAAAGAATATTTGCAGCAATGATTTTAATGGCGATTGCGACGGACATGCCCACGACTAATATTGCAGTTAGAACGTTATCATCGGCAAAGTGTCAACTTTAATGCATACAACTGAATACACATATATGCACTCGTGTACCTATTAGACTCACTCATAACAGCGAAGCCAAAGAGATCGTAAAGTATTTTATGAGCTTATGAGTAGTACATGATTTGATGGGCACCGTTATGAAGACACTTGCTTTTGCACTTACTCATTTACTACATATTGCCTTTATGGATTTATGCAAGTGTTCATGTGAAATCGGGTGGGCTGGTAGGAATGTAAATAGTTATACATATGTATATATACATGAGTTTGGTAGAAATTTGAAAATGCATGTAAATACTTATGTATGTACGTATGTATGTACAATTCACAACAAGATCAGTGTTTATTGCAGATGGGCTTAATACACCTACGAACGATAACAATTTATCACAATTCAATTATATGAAATTTAAAATACTTATTCTTTATTATTGAGTTGGTTGAATTTGGAATATCCATATTACCATATGCCATTTAATGGGGTGATGATGTACTCCAAAATTAACCAAACTTTGTATAAAATAGTTATCAGCATTGTGATGTCCTAAGGTAAGAAGAAACCTGCATCACATCAAAGTAATCCATAGACTGCCTACAGGAGATTACTAAATGGAGTTATCTACGGTAAATTACGTTCCAGCCTACTTTTGAGATTTGATTGTAACAGGCATTGTTGAAAAAAAACAGTAAAACATAATATTTAGCATGAAAATTTATGTTCTTTTTAGTTGCGCAATTGTTCTATACCCACATTAAAAAGATAATATAATATAAATTAGCTCAAACTTTTGCATGTATTTTTAATTATTCCAATTTATTTGTATTTTTTACTTAATTCAATTTAACTTAAAGAAAATTTACTCTATTTAATTTAATTTAAATTGATTAAAATAAGTTTTTTTTTTATAAAATTTCTTATATTAATATTAATTTAAATTCAATTTTATTTTTATTTAATTAAATTTATATTATTTATTTGATTTAATATTATTTTAGTTTATTATTAGTTTTCTTTAGTTTTAATTTTTCTTTATTTAATTTAATTGTGAGGTGTACAACTTTGCTTCCGCCGTTTTCCGATAGGCGGCTGTACCGGCTGAGGCTGGTTGAAATACATAGATGATGAAGCCTTTATAGTGAGTGTGCACAGTGCCTAACGAATTGCCATCGCCGTTTCAGTGACAGTTGTTCCAATGTTTGAAAAAACTTGGACAGCACTGCTTTTTTGTCCTTGTCACATTACATTTGCCAGTTACTATAGTAAAAAGAATAATATGCACATCATTTAGGTATTTATTAAATCATAAATCTTTGAACCTAATTTTGGAAAATATGCCTAAGCGACAAAAAATGCTGAACGAAAACCCTATCTTCGAAATTAAAAGGGTCATTTGTTTCTCGCAAACTTCTTAGTATACGCCTTTTTACACTTTTTCCTTCATTTTAAATGAATTCCAGGCCAAAAATATGCCTACCCATTTTGGTTTTTAATTTTTTCTCCTATTTTGCTGGCAATTAAATTTTCAGGGTGACACTAAACTCAGAATACGAAATAGTAACAAAAAAAAAAACCATAGTATCAGGTGTGCAGCACCGTTTTTCGATAGGTGCCTGTACCTTCTGAGGCTGGTTGAAATATATAGATGATAATGCTTTTAAAGTGAGTGTGGACAGTGCCTAACGAATTCTCATTGCCGTTTCAGTGACAGTTGTTCTTGTTTTCGTATTATTCACGCTCGACAATGTCCGTTTGTGTGCCTAATTCTCGCCATTTGCGGGAAGTTTTACTTTTCTGTTACAATTCGAAAAAAAATGCAGCTAAAGCGCATCGAATGCTCTCAGAAACTTACGGTGATGCTGTTCTGAGTGAAAGAACGTGTCGGGAGTGGTTTCAACATTTTAAAAATGGTGATTTCGATGTCGAAGACAAACATGGTGGTGGAAGAGAAAAAACCTTCACAGATTTACTAGGAGCTGTTAGAACCGGGCGAAACCATCACAGGAGATCGCTACCGAACGCAACTGATGCGCCTTAGTCGCGCGCTAAAAGAAAAGCGGCCACAATATCAAGAGTGACATGACAAAGTCATCCTCCAACACGACATTGCTCGGCCTCACGTCACAAAAGTGGTCGAAAAGTACCTGGAAACGCTGAAATGGGAAATCTTGCCCCACCCGCCGTATTCCCCAGATTTCGCCCCTTCTGACTTCGACCTATTCCGTTCGATGGCACACGGCCTGGCAGATCAACATTTTCAATCCTTCGAAGAATTGGAAAAATGGATTGCTTCATGGATAGCGTCAAAAGAGGACTCCTTATTTCGAGCCGGGATTCGAAAATTGCCGGAAAGATGGGAGAAAGTTGTCGCTAGCGAAGGACAATAAATTGAATAATATATCTGTAAGCACTCTTTCGCAATAAAGCTTTTAATTTTGAAAAAAAAACGGCGGAAGCAAAGTTGTGCACCTGATAAAATTTTTTTTTTGGTTCAAATTCATCTTAAATTTAATTTAATTTAATTTAATTTTTATTCAATTCATTTTAGAATATTTTAATTTAATTTAATTTAGATTTATTTGATTTAATATTATTTATTTTATTATCAGTTTAATTTAATTTTAATTTTAATTTTACTTTTAATTTTAATTTTACTTTAATAATTTTAATTTACTTTAGTTTGAATAATTTTATTTTAATATTATATTATTTTAGTTTAATTTATTTCATTTTATATTATTCTATTTCATAATTAGTTAAATTTAATTTAAATTTGTTTTACTTTATTAATTTTATTTTACTTTGTTTTGATTATTTCAATTTATTTGTTATTATTTGTTTATTGAAAATAATTAAATATTTATTTACTTTTATATTATTTAATTTTATTACTTTTATCAAATTTAAATGAGTTTTATTAGATTTAATTAAAATTATTTTATTTGATGTAATTATATATAATGAAATTAATTAAATTTTTTATTATTTTATTTTTTAATTATTTAATTTGAATTTTTTTGTATAACTTTATTTTAATAAATTATTTTAATTTAATTTAAATTAAATTAATTTTATTTTATATTATTTTATTTTGTTATTTTAATTTAATTTAAATTAAAACTACTTTATTTATATCTATACAATTGGCACTTTATAACTGCTGAAGCGATTTTCGGTGCTCCTCCAGTTTGCGGTTTGTCGTCTTGATGTTTTTCCAAAAAATGGAGAAACCTACAGTTTATACTAAGCCGCCTCCGAACGGCTGATGGTTCTTTTATGAGGAGCCTCTATTTCATGCCAGAAATACATTTAGGGGGTTGACCGCTTTTAGAAAATTTAACTTAATTTTTAATTTGAATTAATTTTCCTATAACTCTTTGGATATTGGTACGATACCAGGGTTTGAGCCCGGGCCTTCCATGTTTTATTGTTGTTTTACTTTTATATTATTTTAATTGAATATGAATATGTGTTTTTTAATTTAATTTAATGTTAAAGTTAACAATGAGTTTATGAAGTTTCAGCATTAACAATTTCATTTCGTTTCGATTACCTAGCGCCTGAACGAAACGAAACCATTTCGTTAAGTTTTTTTTTCATTTTAAGAAAACGAAATGACAGTGTTTCGTTAGTTGAGTATCTCTGTTAAACAGCTTTCAGTGATAAAAACTATTACTGAATTTAAAGGTTTTTGGACAATTCATTAAACATTTCATTGTTTTCATTCAAGCGGGTATACATTTGCTGCTAACTGAAGGTGGTTTTGGTCAAGTTCCTTTGCCAATATGTGTTTATGGGTCTTTATGGCTTTTTAACAAATGGAGATGTTACGTTTTTAATCTAAGCCATCTACGAACGTTTGATAGGTTTTTATTCCATGTCGGAAATACATTCGGATGGGTGATCATAATTAGAGATATTAACTAGATATTTTTTGAAATTAATTTTCTATAATTTTTTATGTAGGTCTGGCAAGGTTTCGCACTTGAGCACCCTCTGATGCGGTGCGATGGCCATACCATTTCATAAATGTTTAAAAAAGCCTCATGTAATATTATCGGCATACCTGGGCTCGAGTAGTCAGAAGGCCAAGTTTCATAATCGCCGTTGCACGGAAAGTTGGTCAGAAAAACAATGAGCATGAGTTTGAAGTTTTATTTCAATCGGTCGGCTCTTTTTTTGAGATTTGGGGAGATTTACAAACGAGCCAGGGATGTGAAATATATATGGATTGTCTTTTATGCAGATTCAGTAATAATAAAACAATTTAAATAGTTTCGATCTAAAGAAAGCTATTCTTGAGCTGTAGTTGATCGTGTTAGCGATTTTTGAATAGCTGGATTCACATCTTTTCGGCTGTACCCATCAGAGCTAACTGCAGATAAAAGGGATGAGGGCTTTATTTCTCCACATATAATTATGGATTTGATATATTTTATTTATTTAGATTATTCTCATTTTGTAGGAATATCTAGATTGTGACACTAAATCATTTGGAACTCTCAACACCTACTACATTGCCCATTGGAGCTGTTAGATGCTGTGTTGCACAGTTATATTTATGTCGATTGGCTGTGGGAGGAAATGCTGAAGTGATTGCCTTAACACTTACCATTTGTACCGTTTCGCTTGCGAGTCGTCTACTGAAGCCAGGTTGGTGGTGCGAATGCGCAGCTGATCAGCCTTAACAATTGGCTACACCGACCAACGCCACAACCACTGTAGTTGTGCTGTGTCGTGTTGTGTTGTGTTGTGTTGTTGGTCAGCACTTACTGCAAAAGCTCTGCAATGGTGCCGTTCAGATGCTCTGAATATTCCTGTATTCGTGTTGTTGGCCGATTAAATTGCAACTAAGTAACGGAATTACGCGGTTATAGCTAGTGGACGAGCGAGTGTTTGTTAGTTTGGTGTTTGTGTGGCGCCGCTGCGCTAACTGGCATATAGGGTCGCCACGTCGCATAAGTTTCCCGCAATTTAAACGAGACTGTACACAATTAATTGCACAACGGACACCCAATATAATTGCAAACGGAACGGATATCCGCTGCCCGGCCGGCAGGCAGATAGCGACAGACACAAACAATTGTGCGGGCACAAGCAGGTCGACCGCCAATGGGCAGGTTGTGATGGCTGGTGACTCTGGCGGCAACCAGTTGAGGCAGGCAGGCTGGTAGACAGGCAAACAGGCAGGCAGGAAGAAAAAACAAATCACAATTCAAATGATCAACACGACGTTGGTTTATTTTTTTCGTTTCTAATTTATTTTTACTGCCGCTTCTGCTGCTTCTTGCGCATTACTGCATAGGCGCATTTGTGGGCAGCTTGAGTGCAACCGTTATTTTAAGTGACTGCCGGTTGCATATCGTCGCTATGATCTTTTATTGTAACCACTTGTTGGCATCCTTTATTGCTCTCTCTCCATTGACTTGGAGCGGAGCGTGAGAGCGTACGGTGCGAGTTGATGCACTTCCTCTTCAATGTTGGATCTGTGACGCACCACACCGACGGATGTTGGGCCAAGTTGAGTGTGCGTTATACTTTAGGTTGTTGTTGTTTTTTTGCTGATTTGTTTGTTGTTGTTATTTAGTTATTGTAACACTTTTTTTTATTGTTTTTGTAGTTTGGTGCTACTAACGGACTTTTTGCTGTTGTTATTGCTACACTTTTTTTATTAAATTTTTTTTTTTTTGTATTTGTCACTGGAATTACATGTTCTTTTCTCGTTAACAATGTTGCACTTTCTTGTTTGCTACCACTTTTTGCATGCAGTCTTCGCGTTTTGCAACAACACTTCTTCGTTTTTTCTAACGGTTGTCACTTCCGAATATTCAATGAGCACACAAGTGTGAGTATGTGTGCGTGTGTGTGTGTCAATCAATTAGGCTTGTGCTGACAGAATCGTAAATTGGAGTGCGTAGTTGTGACACAATTTTGAATTGAAAATGTTATGATTGACAGTTCCGGCGGCACATGAGATTTTTTAAGGATATTTTCACTTATTTCAATTAGTGTGGACAAAAGTTTCGAAGAGAGTTTACATGTGAGAAAATACCATTTGGAACTGAAATCAAAATAAATATGTAATGAAATTTAATTTTTTGCAGTTTTTTTTCGGCAGGTAAAAATCTGCTATGTTGTTATCTTTTCATAAAATTTCTACATTTCCCGCCGATGTACATGCATCAAATATCACATTTTAGAAAATTAAATATTTCTTTAAAAAGTTAGTGCAAGGCCTTCGTTGTTGACTCTCAGGCAAAACTTCTGAATCATTCTGAAGAAAAACTGTCGACTAAGCATGAATCTAAGCTTTTTAGTATTATTAAAATGAATATGAAAAATTTCACAGCAAAAAAAAAAAAGAAATAAATAAATAAAAGTAGCTTTGTGTCATCATAACTTATTTAAATATTATATATACATATTGTGTATGCATATTATTTATTTAATTGGCGCTTTGTAGCCGCGTTTTGATGTTTTTCCTACAAATGGAGGGACCTACAGTTTATACTAAGCCGCTTCCTAACGGCTGATGTTTTTTTTTTATGAGAAGCCTTCATTTCATGTAAGAAATACACTCGGAGGGGTTAACATTCCCTGCCGAGGGGCGATCGCTTTTAGAAAATTTAACGTAATTTTTTATTTAAATTAATTTTCTATAACTTTTTGAATGTTAGTATGACACCAGGATTTGAACCCGAGCCTTCCGAATGATAGTACGCAACACTCGGCCAGCGTGGCCGCTAATTACATATTTATTGTAGGGAATAATAACCTCATTTTTTCAATTTTCAGTAGTTGCGCTCAAGTGGTAAATTGGACGTTAAACCTAGAAATAGTAAGTTGTTCGTATAGGATATGGGCTAAATTCAGTATTTTTGGCAGGTAAGATCTTTTAAGGACCTAAAATTTTACACCGAGATTAATTGAATTCGACTTTGTACGGACAAATCTGGGGTAAAAGGTCGTTCTTATTCACGTCGGGCTTACAGGCGAGATTTCGAGCGGGTCATGTACTTTTCAGAGCTCTTTGAATTTTCAGTTCTCCGCATTTATAATTTTTAGTTTATACCATTCAGACTCTGACTGTTAGCTGAAGTAACTCGCACTTGGGCCATTAAGCAGGCTCATTGGCCTCCCCCGTGTATTCCAACTAAGTGTTTGTGATAAATTCGCTGGGCTGCTTTAATTTCGTCCAACCAAGCGTGGACTTCTTCATGGTATTGGAGCTAGAAGCATCATGTTTCGTTAATTTCTGTACATTTTTTGCACGTAGCCGATGCCATTGTACCTAGCTTATAGAGGTGATATCTAAGGGCCTACCCCTGCAATAATATTAATACACTTTAAGAATGCTAAATTCCCTTTTGCTCAATGCAAGTAAGAGTCTGTCGACTATCCAAGCTGTCCCACATAAATTTAGTGGTTTTTCCTACGTTGAAAGACTGTAACTGTTTCTCTATGGTATCTGGCACCGCGTTTTTTCTGTCTATGCATTAAGCTCGATTTTAAGGAAATGGGGGACCCATAAACGTAAAAATGTCAGACAATTTAAGAAATAAGTTCATAAAGCTTGAAGAAACTTGGTACAGATGTTTCCTAGAGTTTCAGATACATAAGTACGAATTACAACTCTCGCAAACCGGCATCATGCAGTAACGAGTCAATGAAAGGGATCAAAATAATGATAAATTTTGGTTGTGAAAGTTTGGCGATGGCTCCACCAGCAAGTTAAATGCTGCTTTACCAGATGTGGACAGACTTAAGTACAAGATGTGCGTAAGTCTTATATGAAGAACTAAGTTATTCCGACGGTTTTGTAACAACGTAACGTTACCGTATCGTATAGATACATTTACAACAACACGTAGCAACAATCGACATTGTCATTATCCATTATCATCCCTTTGCCACCTAACGCTTGGCCTCGTCCTTTAACAATTAGTATCCATTTTAGCATAAAAATTCGCCATAGAAATTTTATTTCGGATATTTTGAAAATTAATTTAGTACTTTGTTGCCCTAACATTTGAATTAAAAAATTAACTGTTTATTATTTATTTTAAAATATGGGGTTTTTGTTAATTTTTATTTTTTTATTTTTAGTTTAAGTTTCATCTTGATTAGTATTTAGTATTATATTATTATTTTCCTTTAATTTTTTTTATTTATTTCTTTTCCTCACTTTATTTTATTTAATTTCATGTGTGTTTTGTTTTAATGTATTTAACATTATTTCATTTCGATTAATTTCATTTTATAAAATGTTACTTAATTTTAGTTGCTTATTTTTTTCATTTTGTATTATTTTGCTTCATTCTTGATTTGCTTTATTTTACTTTTGTATATTTTATTTCAGTTATTTTCTTGTTTTTAATTTAACTTTTTCTTTTTGTATTTAATTAAATTTTAGTTAATTTTAATGATTTAAATTCTTTAGATAGTATAAATTAATTTAAATTGTTTTTATTTATTTTTGCTAAGCGATTAGTTTAAATTTGATTCGAGATTTTATTTATTTAATAGACTTAGCTGAACATTGAAATAATTAAATTATTTTTATTTGTTTTATTTTTTATGCCAATTCATTTAAATTAATTGAATTTAATTTTATTAACTTTTAATTTATTTTTTTTTTGTTTAATTTTTTTAAGTTAATATTATTTAATTTTTTCGTTTTATTTAATTTTTTAATGTGTTTTATTTTATTTGGTTCATTTTAATTATGTTATCTTGATTTATTAATTTATTTATTTGATTCAATTTAATTTTGTTTAATTTTATTTCCTTTCTTCGTTTTATTTTATTTTACCAATTTTTTTTTAATTTACCTAAATTTATAAAATTAAGTCATTTATTCGATTTCATTTTGATTTTTTTTAGTTGGCTGTAAATTATTTATTTATTTTGTTTTGCTTTATTTGGTTTGTTTTTACGTAATTTTTTTTTTATATTATTTTATTTGGATTTATTTACCTTGATTTATTGTTGCAGTTTCACGTTATTTACTGTTTACTTTATTTAATTTATTTTTATTTTTTCTTATATTTTATTCAGGCTTAGTTTTCTTAAACAGTTAGTTTTTTATTTTTATTTAATTATTTAACCTATATTATTAGGTTTTTATTTTAGTTCATTTTGTTTTGCTTTGCTGTGCTTTCTTTTATTTTATTATATTTAATGGTTTATTTTAGTTTATTTATGTGCTTGGACTTACTTGATTTATTTCACTTTTTTACATATTTTATTATTATTTATTAACCTTTCTTAATATTTTATTTTATGTTTGTCTATTTTATTGCATATAAGTTGAATTTATTTAATTATTTTTAATGTAATTTATTTGATATTTTCATATTTTTTATTTTGCCTTGTAACAAAAACATAATTTGTTTTCAGCTTAATTTAGTTTAATTATTTTTTTAAATTTTAATTGCTTTAAAATCATATTAGTTCTTTTAATGTAAATTAATTCAGTTTAATTTAATTAATTTTGCATTATAATTATTATTTTTATTTCATTTAATGAATTTAATTTTTATTATGCGTATTTACTTAATTTAATTATTTTAATTTTTTTATATTTATTTTAGTCATTTACTTAATTCAAATTGAACTTTTGTAGATTTTCATAAAAATTAATATTTTTTTAAATTAATTCTCTATAAATCTGTTATTAATTTAATCATTTAGCACTAAAATCGAATTCGCGATTTATATCCGTGTTTTGGATTATTTAGAAAATTAGTCAACTCCATTATTTGCAATTAATTTTTCCACTTGCTTTTACTAATTTACCACTTAGCTATTTATGTATTGTTTAGTTGTGGTGATTATTAGTCGCCAATCAGCTGGCGCTTATCACTTCTGGTCCGTTAGTTGCCAATGCTGCCATAAAATTTCCGCTATAATTTTTTAATATAAATATTACTGAATTTCATATGACACATTACAATTTATTTAGTCACTGTGAACATTATTTTAATTAATATCCACGTATGTATATATGTATGCATGCATTACTTTTCATTCACTTATTTCCAATTATTCCTGAAAACTCCTTCACTTTTTCTGGCACCAAAGCCATTATTTTCATTTCAACTTGTATTTGTTGTTTTGCCTTATATTAAATTAGGTCACACACACACACATACACAAGCGTAGATAATTGTATTAAAATAATTTCTCACTGTTAATTGCTTACTCCTTCCATGTGCACACATACATACATACGTCTCGTAAACAAAACATCCAAAGCATTTAGATTGTGCTACTGAGAAAAAAAGAAAATTCATCCGCGCACACGGACACGGACTGTGGACCAAAGACCACAGACTGCCCGATACAATTGCGGACGTCGCTACCACAGTGTCCGTTAGCTCGTACTTTCAATTCAATCCAATTCACTCATACGCGCTGCTGAACGCGATAAAGTGTACATATGTATATATGTATATATATGTATGTATGTAGGTACTCGTCAATTGTAGATCGCGTAACACACACTCAGTCAACAATTTTGGTCCTGCACGCCACCGGACATTGCGACAAAACACAACCGTAAAGTAAGAGATCGTCTTGCTGACTGGATGACGCGCGCGCACAATCCAAAAGCGACGTACATTTCCTTCAACTCATCGCAAAATGCTATTGAGACGACGGCAGCGACGACGGCGACAATAACGTCGCCGACGCTTCATTAGAGCTGCAGAGATGCTGCAGCATATCTAGATGTGATGAACGAGGTGAGCGCGAGGTAAGCGAGACGAATGCGCGACGAACTTGCTCTGCATTCATAAAACTAGTCAACAATAACAAAACAAAGTTAGAAATACGCGCGCACTGCACAAATACACACATACACACACACACACACACATACACATAAACACGAGGGAACGGCAGTAACGGCTTTTGAGAAGAAGAAGAAAAAGAAGAAGAAAAAGAAAACGAAGAAGCAGAAGAAGCAATGGGAGTCATAAGAAATAGCAAGTCAAATCGTCGAACCATTAAAGAAATGTAACAATTGCCAATCGAGTAATCGCTGCCGAAGTTGAAGCCGAAGTCGGCGCCATCGTCGCTGCCACTGAGCAGCATGGAGCAGACAGCCGACTTCAAAATTTACTCCAATTCAGTCGACCACTGACATGAGCGTCACATACCTCGTTGCTTGGCAATACTTAGCACAAAAACGATCAGCGCGCAAGTCTCTGGTGAGACGGGGTGTATGAGAATTACCAATGCTTTTTATTCTTCTTTCCGTTACCGCCCTCTCTACAAATACGCATGTGATCACTTGCGGCTAGGTGAGCAGCACGCACACCCTCACACCCTCACACAGTCTGATCGCAACGAACCTCAGACGCAGCAGCTACGCCAACTATTACGATCATTGATACGGCGACTACGTCGACGAAATAACGGTCTACGTAGTAGTTAGCGTGAATTGTTTAAAGTCAAGTTGGCGCGCGCGTCACGACCATTCTACTCAGCCATTCGGCGATGTACTGAAATTATAGTGATCTTAACGCTTCAGCTTACCCACGAATTGGGCAAGACAAGGCAAGGCAGACAAAAATAGCATAAAACAGACTAAAAAGAAAAAGAAGTTAAAAAGTTAGCTAAAATTTAGAATCGACAGACGAATCGACAAAAAATAAGAAAATCGACAATGTAAAAACAAAATCATACAACAACAACAAATAGAAAGACAACAACAAGGGAAGCAACAACTGGCATCACATTTACAAAGCGACAGAAATGCCCGACCGAGCGCACGCCACTAGGCTACGTCAGCTGGTGAGTCGCTCAATTTCTACAACAAAAAAGTGTTTTACAAAGAAAACGAAAAAAGAAAAAAAGAAACAACAAATAATAAACATAGAAGCAGAGGAAGCAGACGAGTCAGACGAACAACTGTAACAAAACACGCCGAGCGTCAAGTATGGCTAACGAATGCAACGACGAAACAAAAAAAAACATATGAAGATGGAGGCGCAACCGACTGAGCAGTCGCGTTGGCATTTACTGAATGAAAATCGTAGTCGACGGCACACGGTAACAAGCCGACGTCTTCGCGACTGCCGTTGAAGACTGCTGCACAGTTAGCTCTACGGCGTCGTAGACTATTTGCGTCGGGCAGCCAAGTTTGGGTGGAGTATCTTCCGCCCAAACAAGTATGTTGCGCTCCATTGAGTCAAAGCCGGGGTGGTGATAGCGTGAACTAGCGTACGAATAAGTTCCACAAGCATGTAAACGTGCGCTTTTGCGACGCTCTCTCTCGCGCGAGTTGCTACCTGTGCAGCTTTGGGCTGAGTTGAGAGATTACGATATACATATGTATGTGCATAGACGAGGTATGCGCGTAAGAAGTTCGGTAACAAAAGTGAAGTTATCCCACGAGAGGATTACTGGTCCGAAATTGTTGTTTGTTGTTTGTTCTTTGCTTTATACTTCAAAGACACTCTCGCTCTCTGTTGACTTATGCATGCAACGAAAAGAAAATAAATGAAAAAAAAAACATGTCTTGACTTGTTGACTAGCGTGTCTTTACCATAGGTTATACGTAGCCGCAAGCGAACAGTATGCTTACGGACCTCTTGGTGTGTGGTTGTGCGGTGCGCGCCAGTTGTCCGACTACAAGATATTAGTCCGTATTTGGAGTGGTTTTGCTCGTGCTAAATAAAGGCGTCCACTGTCCACCACTTATTCATACCCCAGTACCACTTAGCGACATACCCTTCACCTTGCCAACGATATGTCTTTAGTACAGTTCACTGACTGACACGTAAGCCAAGTAGCTGTTCGTGCAAATAAAGAGGCGGTTGATAGACAGCGGCGGCTGACTGACCCTTCCAAAGATCACTGCCAAGCAGCCATCAACTTCATAGGCTCTGACGTGCTACTGGTCTATTTCTTTGAGTCCCCATAAACAGAGAGAGCATTTTGACATTTCGAAATTGGAGTGGAATGCGCGCGCGCGCGTGCTTTTCAACTGCCGTCAGTCCTTGCTGTCAGTTATGTACTTTTATACACACACATACACTCATAAATGTGTAAGCCTTAACGGTGCATCAGGCATCACATGGTAGCTTATATGTATACGTATGTAGGTAAATCTTCTCGTGCCGACTCCCGATAAAACCCGCAAGCCGCCGTGCAACGTCAATTCAATTTAGTGCAACACAGGCGAGCCACATTGGCCACGCGAGCCAACCCAACAGCAGTGACGTGGCGGCACATGCAAGTGTGACCAAGTAGAGCAAAGTGTCACGCTTTAGCGGTACACCGGTACCAACACATACAAACACAAATGCACATACATGCCTATGAGGATGCAAATAGACTATGGTTTTTCCTCGGCCAGGCGCCCAGTTGAAAGCGTCTAAAGCATCGTTGCACGAAATCGATCAAATCACAAATGACTGGACAGTGACAGTTGAACAGTTGAACATGGCTTGCATGTCATTTGCGAGCACACTCACACACTCACACGCTCAAACAGTCACACAGAGATATCCTCAGCTATGTACATTTAGACAAACGGCCGCATCTAACCTTCACTTGAAGCGTTTGAACACAACAGAAGCCTCTCCATATGCCAACTTGGAAAGCGGCGAAATGTAGTGCATAGCAGGGCAGTGTGCAAGTCAACTAGCGAGTGAGATAGCGAGCGAGTTGAACCTACAAACATCACACAGATCTACATAAATGTTCAAATGACCGAGCGTTTGTGGCGACGAATGTGTCGCAGCGTAACAAATGAAAGCAATGACTATCTACAATACTTTTTTCCGCCATTCGAAACGGATGCGGACACGCGCACTCCGCTCAGTCGAGTGGCACTTAGCAGCTGGCATTCGAATGGTTGGTCGGTTGGTCGGTCGGTCGGTTGGTCGTTAGTTAAATTCGCTTTACAAAATATGTACATTTGTAAGCTCTGCATAATTGTCTTATGTATTTGCATTGGCGAGATTCGATGCCGCCGCGAGCCGATTTATGTCAATCTCTGCTGCTGGGATAATGTTGAAATGGTGACAGTTTAAGGTTGTAGGGCTGGCTGGCTGGCTCTTTCTTGGTTTAATTAAGGTCATTTGACGTCTGGTAATTTGTAGCTCATTTGCAGCAAGAGTCATTTAGTCCCTAAGCTAGTTGGATTTTAGTTGATTTTTTTTTAATATTTTTTTTTTTCAATAACTTTTTTTTCGATTAGTTAGTGACCCATATGAGGACTGTGATAAATAAATTTTGCATCTTAATGTCCATCTTTGGACCCTTCGTTTTTCACCTTCGACAACAAAGTCACTGACGTCGGACATTTAAAGGAACAGTATTCAATAAAATAGCTAGGAATCGGTTAAACTTATTTGGAGAATCTGATCTAACGAAAGGATACCATTAGTACTCTTAACATGCCATCTGAAACACAGTGTCTTGTGACAATCATCGTAGGCCAGTTAGTATTAGTTGTTGTCGACGCACTGTGGGCAGTGTGCTGCTCGGGGTCTCCCTAATGAAACTTAGTAAGTCATTTACTCTTCTTTTAGAAATGCGACAACTAAGATTTGGTTATGAACAGAACATCTAAGGGCTCAGCGTTACAATCAAGCTACAGAACGCAGAATGACTCAAACTCAAGGAGTAATCTGAGGGAGTAAAGGAAGGGTCATATGGAGACGATATCCTATTACAAGATTACTGAGATTGGGGGGTATACTTTAAGAATTTCAACAAAGCCCTTTCTTCGCGCCTACCCAACTCAGCTAGCATCTCCCAAGCGCAAGTACTAGATGTGGGAAGGGGCTATAAAGCTGTAATCAATAGCAACGGGAGGACTTAGATCTTTTTTTACAAATGGTTCTAAAATGAAAGAACGAAGGAGTGGGAGCTGCAATGTACTGTGCCATACTTTCACTCACATATTCGACATAGCGCACATCCTAACCCTTTAGGTACCTAAACTCGAATGGCAATGCACAAATAGATATATTGCATATAAAATATATCACATGGTTTGAGGGCTACAATGAAGTGTGACAGCAGGATAGCGTTAATTGGGTTCGGGACTAGAATAAGTCCGGAAGATGTCTAACGCATCTATCTGCCTATCTGCGTGTCGCAAGGTGCTACCGAGCTTCAACCAATCCTGAACTATTCACCCTTTTCAGACATTGAATATAATATGGGCCCTGGTGTGAAGCTCAGCTGTGTCAATACACTCTTATAAATAGTTTTAGTAGCAGCTTGCATTTGCAGGTTTTGCGGTTTGCAGGCTCAACTGCCTAACAGTCTTCTTCCGTATCACTATAATCCAAATAAGGATAGTATGTTCTATTCGATCATTTCAGATAAGATGGCAGCGAGTGTATGTCATGTTTTAAGACTTTGACGCGAGCGAGCCTATGGGATCTGTAACTGCTTGACTGTCACTGGTAATGAATGTACCGCCTACACCGGTGCCGATAAGAGTCTGATTAAAACTAATGTGGATGAGTTTCTCGAGAAATTATCACCAAACACTTTTCCCTCGAACTTGTGTAGATTTCCAATTCAGATTTCAGCTCGTAATTA